CCCCAAAACCCCAAAACCCCAAAACCCCAAAACCCCAAAACCCCATAAATAAGAATTTTTATGCTTGAGCTTTTAATAAATTCAAAATCTACAATGCATATTTATAATCTCCCTCACAATCATCATTGAATACATTAAGTCATCATTTAGTGTTATCTTTTAACTCTGAAGCATTACTTATATTATTTGTCTAAATTTATTGCAATTCTTCTTGCTTAGCAGGGAGATAAAAATCACTCTGCTTTTAATTAGTTCTCTTGTTTGCAAACACATTGATATAGCCTCCTATTCTGTAGAATAAATCAGTCAACTGAAACTTTCTTTCATCCTCTATATCCAAAATATATAAAGATAAGATCACTTACTTTCTTATTCCTCTTCACTCTGGTATTCCTTGGGGTACATCTTTCTGTAGGCAATATAGATTAACAGAACTCCATAAGCAGCTGTCAGGGTATATATTCCATAGGTCTTCAATAACTCCGATTTCTTCTTTAGAGTCCTCCTACGAGTAATATCATGCCTCACTTATCCTTTCATTTTATTAATAATTTATAAGTCTAAATTAAAAATTGATAATTTATTGATTAAAAAGTAAACTGAATAATATCAATCTAATCACATCAATGATGACTGCACTTGCATTTTTATTCTCCGTCTTTCCAGATACCTTTGCATTCTTTCTTCTCTACTTTGACTGGAGTAGTATCCTTATTTGATTTTTAGATCTTTTGCAGGCCGAAGTATAGGGCTAGAAGATAAGCGAGTACTCCAAGGAAAATGTAAAGTTCTTAAAGCTTGCTGGTGACCAAGTAAAACTGTACTTTGTTTCCAAGCTTCTCCTCGTAGAATTGAGTGTCCTTCACGAGCACACCCATTCTCTTAACTGAGTTCACATTCTAGTTTAGCAGTCTTTGGAACTCCTTGCTTAGAACTGAGTCTCTTTGAATCATATGTGGGGCACGTGAGTTCTTCAACAGGAATGACTTGATTTGGTCGATGTAGGAATCTTGCACTAAGCTCTTGTTGTCGAGGAAATAGTTGATTGAGGAGTCGTGGAAGGCGTAGACTAAGTGAACGAGAGCCTCACTGAAGATAAGAATGTTTCTTCTCAAGTCATCGTTGTTTAGAGCGGAATCGAAAACAGAGTACTTCTGGTATCTGTGGAAGTTTCTCTCTCCCTTAGCTGAAATAGTCACTGCTGGAATGCCCTTCTCGTTGAATATTTGATGCTCGTATTGCACAAATCTTCTGTTGCTGCTGTAAGAATGGGCAATGTCTTTAGTTTAAACGTAAACGTTCTTCTAGGCAGCTGCTCTCTTGAATTCTTCAACGAATTTGTTTGAAGTGCTGTCGGTATCACTAAGTTGGCCTTGAAGGATGAAGAGATCATTGGGAGCTTGAGAATTAACGAATTGGTCAAGACAGACGGCAAACTTTATTCTCTCACGGATGTTTGATGGGATGTGATCTAGGAATTTACCTGTTCCCTCATGATTCAAAGAGCCAGTTGGGGAAAGGATAAATAGCAAGTCAAACTTAAAGTTGTTTACTTGTTGGAGTTCAGAGAGTAACTGACTGAAAATCTTGCTAACTTGGAGTTCTGCGATCAAAGCACTGCCTGATGATTCAATTGAGTATGAGAGCTCTGGGGAAATAGCTAGTGCATCATAAGTAGTTGAAATAGCAATAAGGGGATTTTAATTGCTTTAATCTTAAGACTCTCTGAAGTTAACTTATCCCTATTAAACAATGATTTTAAACTAAACTTACATAGAACACATCGAGGTTGATTTGCTGGAGTTGCTTTGGCTCTGCATTGTTCAAGATCATCATGTATTCAGCTTGACTATTGAACATTCTGCTGAAGCCTCTCTGAGGACCACTAGTCTATCCGCTTAAAGCCTCCCTCTTGAGTTAAGCGTGTAAATCAAACAATTGATCGGTCTCATAAGCGAAGTACACTGGAACTGCAATTGACTCAGTTGCTAGCTTAAACTGAATATCTTCCCACAGCTTAAGAATCTTGGGGGAAATAGCACTCTATTGTCTAGCGTCAGCTGGCAGAATCATCAATAGACCTAGAGCGTTTTTCTGCAAGACCTGGGTCACTACCTCGGGGTACAACTCATCAAATCTAATTACTGCTACCTTTCTAAATACATCGCCTGAGAAGTGAGCTGCTGCGAAGTTAAGTGAGTTTGAGAGGGAACCTAGGGTCTAGCCATCACTTGTCGTGTATTAGATCAATCTATACGCTTCGAAATCCATGCTCCCCTAAATCAAAAGGATATTAGACAAAACCATTATAGAAATATAGATGCTGCCAATATTGGTATGTGTATTGTGTTGACAACTTACCATGGAATACATGCAGAGAGTCATACAAATGATATTAGCTAAATAGATATTAGTTTAGCTTCGTGCTGAAAGAATTTTCATTGATATTAAAAATAAGAATATATATTTAATAACAATTTTATATAGAGAAATTCCATTAACTGACTGGAAATTTTCAAAATTATATGGGGTTTTGGGGTTTTGGGGTTTTGGGG